GCTACTTCTATAATGCCAATGTGGCATAGTGTTTGAGCATTGGACTATGACTCTGGAGACCAGGGTTCAAAATCCAGCTTGGCCATGAAACCCACTGGGAAGTCAGATGCTCTTAGGGGAAGGCAATGGCAAACCTCCTCTAAATAACAAATTTTGTCAGGAAAACCCCATAATAGGGTCACTTTAGGGTCACCATAAGTTGGAAACAACTTGAAGGCACTCAACTACAATAACAAGGTTTTAAGTAATGGTTGGCATCCTGTTCAGTAATTACAAGATGATAAGTTTGATTTACAAACTTATATCTTTCTGGATTCAAGTTAACGGTAATGAAAAACCAAACCTGACCCCAAAAACCTACTTTTTCAGGCAGGCAGTGCCCCCCAACTGAAGGGTTTCCAAGGTACTGTAGATCAGGACATCTGTAGCACTCTTCCAGTCACAGGACACCTCAAAAGAAGCAGTTGCAGAAAGTCCCTGAGAGAGCTTTCCAGCAGTCTGTTCCAAATTTGCCCCACTGCAGATGTCATTTCCCAGCATCTGGTTCTACAATGCTTCAGAAATTCTTCAGTTGGGGCACTGCCTTGCTGAAAAGGTAGGGGTTTTTTGGGGGGGCAGGGAGTGGCATCATCAGATTCAGGTATGACAACAAAGCTCCATCATCACAGTTATGCCTGACAGTGCAGGGTCTTGGGCCATTTTTAAAACTGTTGATATTTTAACACTTTTTAACTTGTATTCCATATTGTTTTAGCTATTTTAACTTGGACTGTAAGTTTTTCTGAGCCCCATTTTGGGAAAATGGCAGGATACAAATCAAATAAATAACTAAGCGTGGTTGCAGAATGCCAGAAATAGTGCAAATTGAGTCCACTTTTAGGGTTAGGGTTAGTGCTAGGGAATCATGGGAATTGGTTTTTTTTCTGAGACATTGAGCCTTCTCTGTCAGAGAGCTCTGGTGCCACAATAAACTACAGTTCCCATGATCCCTTAACCCTAACTCTAAAAGTGGATTCAATTTGCACTATTTCTGGAAGGAAGCCACCAGCTGCTGCTGGGTAGAATCAGACTACTGACTGCCCAGCCCAATTAGATCAGTGGGGGAAAGTATTCATTTCTCACTTTTTTCTCAAGACTCAAAGCAGCTTGTGTGTGTACATGTGCCTGTCAACTCAATGAATTTCATAGGGTTTTCTTAGATAAGGAATACACAATAAATGTTTTTTTCCAGTTCCTTCCTGTGAAATATAGCCTACAACACTTGGTATCCCTTAGCCATCCCCTACCCAGGTACTAACCAGT